GCTACAACTCAAATCGATTCTGCGCTCGATGTAAACACAAATCTTCTTATTCAACATAAGAAAATTATGGATGAAATTGAATCGACCTGAAAGGAATTTTCTCTTTGTATCTTGGTGAATCCTGCTCCAAACAACACTATTTTTTTAAATCGTTGCAATAATCCTGAGAAACATTACTACAATTTGTATCAGTCGGTTGGTGGATTAGTCGAACCCAACGAAACATTCGAATCATGCGCTTTTAGAAAAGTTCGTGAAGAAGCCGGAATTGACATCAAGGAATTGAATTATATCTGTCAACACGAAGAATCTTGTGTTTTTCCCAGCAATACCGAAGAATCTTTATATAAAACTCTTGTCTATTTCTCGATTCTCGAACCTAACCAAATCCCGACTCGAACTGAACCAACTAAAAGTGATGAATAGATTCAATGTACTTTGACTGAATTTGAAAAAGGCCAATATATATTAACGCCAACATTAGAAGTTAAAAAGAAGGAGATTGTTGAAATGATTAAATCAAACTAACTCAACATAACAGGAAGAGAAAACATGTTAGCAAGGAGGAAAAAGAAGAAAAGGAGGAAGTGAATGGTGTCAATTCGGAATTGAATGGAGTCAATTCGGAAGTGAATGGAGTTTCATCAGCTTCGAGTCCTGCATAATTTTAGTTTTTTTTTTTTTTACTTATATCATTTTTTTTTTTATTAAACAAATAAATCAATCTGTTCAGTACTTTACCGAACAGATTTTTAACTACGTAAAAATGACTACTGTGAAGAAAGTAAGTTGGCGAAGCTCAATTTTACTTAGTTAATATAATTGTTTAGTGTACACTTTTTTATATTGCATTAGGGAATTATTCTGAGTAAAACTATTTGATTATTTTTCGAGGATAATTCTTATTTTTGCTAGGAACGCGAGATGGTCTCTTGAGTTATTATCTCTTGCGAAGTCGTCCGCAACCCATGGAGAGAATAAACAATTATACTAATATTTAATTTTATTTAGGTGACGAACTATCAAAAAGGTCACGATTTCGAAAATTTACTTCGTAAAATCTTTAATGACGCTGGGTTTATAGTACATAAGATTCAGGTTACCGAAGGTGATGGGGGTTTAGATTTGATAGTTTCTTATCAAACCAACCAAATTTGTATCCAATCTAAAGATACAGAAAATCCACTAATTTTAAAATATGTC